TTTGTTACTTATTGTATTATACTATTGTATTTAATGCGTCGGTATCAGGGTGGACAGCAAAGAAAGAATTTCATTGCACAGAGGAACTTGCTTTCTTTTGTTGCATATGACAATAAACATCTTGAAACTTGAAACTTGAAGTCTGAAAATACATTTAGGGTATTTATATTTATGGGGGACAATTCAAGTCTTTCAGAATTTGGGGGAGGCAGTGTCCTCTCCGGAATCTGCACCATGGGTGGGAGTGGGTCAGTGGTTTTATTGTGACAGCTGTGACCGGGGAGCTTCCAGCTAAATGCAATACAGCTCACACGGGCTTGCTTTTTATTGTGAAGGTCCGCACCGGAAGCACTGTGTGTCGGTCAGCTCCTTTACTCAGAGAACTGCAGAGAAGATGGCGGCGTTACGAGTCGTGGTGCTGTCGGGGAGCGGCAGGGCTCTCCTTGGCACGCCGAAAACTATCAGGACCCCGAAGGTAGGTCGACAGATGAGTGTTGGACTCATCAACCAGGACCGAGTGAGTTTATAACCGTAGTTTAAACAGGAAAGCGCTGCGGCGGGACGTCCTGGCACCGGGCTAATGTTAGCCTGTCGGCGGGTTGAGACAAGGTCACCGCTGCTCACACTCGTTTGCAGGACGCCTCCAACGATATATTGTCATAATCCTCTCATGTATTGTCATCGCTTCAGTGCAGAAGTCGATATGTCGTCTGTAAGTGCAACAACACGCGATATAAGAGTTAAAAACCAACCCTGTAGTCATCTCTAAGTGAGGCTAACTCATGTCGACCACCCGGTAACCGGACAGACTGACCACAGTTAGACTTTCTGCTGTCGGTAACAGTTCAGAGGCATTTATATACACGAGTGTAGTGTTTATTTTTATTGTTCCAGTGCAGATTTAAATCGCATTGTGTTCATATTCCGTCCACAACTCAACCGGCTAACGCAGCTGAGCTAACGAGGTAGCGTTTCAAGGACTGTGAGGACTTCCGGTGAAGAGATAAACCTTTTATTTCTGTCCTCTTCATCTTCATCTTCATCTTCCTCTTCCTTCTTTGAGCTGCCTTCATCCCCCTGTTCTGTGTTATTAATGCTCCATATATGAGGCTAAACGTCCTTACTGCTGGTGTTAGTTTTACCTTTACTGTCACTGTGGAGGACGGTGACTTTAAAATCTGCCATCGAAACATTTGTATTGAAAACATTTGTACTGGCACTGAAAAAATAAACTAATTAAAGTGATTCAAATCTTAAAATCTTATTATTTTATTTTAATGGGATTTTATTTTGTATTTTTCATTGACAATCTTCAGATTTTTTTCTTCATGTCACTTCTTTTTTCACTGACAGATTTTCTTTTTTCACTGACAGATTTTCTTTTTTCACTGACACTTTCTTTACTTTGTGACCTGGTTGTTGAGGAACAGATAGAAACGGGTCAGCATGAGAAGATTTCCTGTCTCAAGTTGTTTTTTATACTGCAGCACAAACTCCATGTCCACTGACGCCACCTCATTATTGTTTTTAGGACTACAACTTAGAAAATCCTACTGCGATTGTTTTTGACAGATATTTGCAAAAAAATTATGAGTATTTGTTGGAGCTTGTAACAAACAAACAAAATAAATGTCTTATTTTGATTTAATGTTTTATTTATGTTAAAATCTGGAGATTGCAGACTGCAGCACTTCAGTATTTCACTATAAAGCTGTTACATATATATGTATATATACACATACATACATGTATAAAGCACATTGTTTAATTAAAAAATTGCAGGAAAATATTCAAATTTGGAAAGTATTTCCATTAATTGTGCAGCTCCAGTTACACTATTGGTTAATGTGCAGATTATGTTTCCATTTAACCGATTTCAGTCACAGTATATGATATGCTTCTGAAGCGCTCGGCTACTACGCGCCTCAACCAATGGATTCAAGTCCTAAGTTTGTGAACAGGCGTCCTTCCTGAGTGTAGCCCGATAAGAGGTTGGTGTGTGTTGGTGTCTTTAGGTAAACTGGAAGTCAAACTTAACATCCAGGTATTGTTTTTTAACCTTTTAAAACAGGTCGAGCTATAAAGCTAATAGGTGAATAATCACGTGTATGTTGTGCTGGAATCATTTTAGTATATAAATGGTGTCCTGACGGTTCTTGTTTCTCCGCAGGCCAACATGTCCTTCGCCAGCCTGCCGCGGAACAAGAAGGTTGCCCTGTCGACGCTGGGTGTGGTCGCAGCCGGTGGGGCGGGGCTCGCTCTGATGCTGCACCAGTCCGTTAAAGCCTCCGACCTGGAGCTCCACCCCCCTAACTACCCCTGGAGCCACGCCGGACCTCTGTCCTCCTTGGACCACGCTAGGTGTGATGGATGGACACACACACACACACACACACACACTTTCTCCAGAGAATTTAAATTCAGTGAGTGCCATGGTGTTTATCTGAAGTTTATCTGTTTATATGTGGCACAGTATTGCACAGGCTACATAGACTGACCTGCAACTAGGCAGAGATGCTGATCTTTGTAGATTCCTTTTGTTTCCCTGACACAAAAAGATGAATAAATAACAACAACAACAAAAACATCAGCTATAAGCCAGATCGTTATTTTAAACAATGGTTTTGGCCCAGAATTTCCAAATTGGTGCACGCATTCAACACATTTGTTAGTGCTCAGAGACAGGATCTTGTGTTTTATTATTATTGCAATGTAAAGTCTGTTGTGGCACCTTTAGTCTTACATTTTGTAGAGGATGATGACATTTTTTCACCCTAAGTATCTCTCTTCTCCTGCAGTGTTCGCCGTGGTTACCAGGTGTATAAGCAGGTGTGTTTAGCGTGCCACAGTATGGAGTACCTGGCCTTCAGAAACCTGGTGGGAGTGTCGCACACAGAGGCCGAGGTGAAGGCCATCGCTGAGGAGGTGAGGCTGTGTGTCTGTGTGTGAGCGTAAGAGCCTGTGTGAGTGTTTGTGGTTATTTTTAGAATGAAAGTCTGCGTTCTGCCAGTAGGTGGTGACCCTTGGCTCTATCTGCGGTTATATTTATAGGTTTTGGGCCACACTTTAAAGGTTTGTTGTGTGTTGTGTTCAGGTTGAGGTCGTGGACGGTCCTGATGACAACGGAGAGATGTTCACCCGGCCAGGAAAACTGTCGGACTACTTCCCAAAGCCCTACTCCAATCCTGAGGCAGCTCGGGCTGCCAACAACGGAGCCCTGCCTCCAGACCTTAGCTACATTGTCAATGCCAGGTAACTCCTGAAAAACAGAAAACAAACATGGTTAAGTCTGAAAGCCACAAAATCTCCTCCAATCTGCAAATCTTTGGTATTCACTCGGTGTGTCCCCCCCGCTCCCCTCAGACATGGAGGAGAGGACTACGTGTTCAGCCTGCTGACAGGATACTGCGAACCTCCAGCAGGAGTGTCGGTGAGAGAGGGACTCTACTACAACCCTTACTTCCCTGGCCAGGCCATCGGCATGGCCCCGCCCATCTACAACGAGGTGCTCGAGTATGACGACGGTAAGTAAAGACGTGTGTGTGTGTGTGTGTGTGTCGGAGGTCTCTAGAAAAACAACCTGGACACAGCTTCGAGTACAGCCTAAAATTCTACTTTACACTCTGGCAAATCGACAAACATCCTCTATTCCAAACCAGCACAGTGCATCATTAAAGGCCTCAGTATTAATGGTCACATGATTTTTGGCGTGTCTGTGTTGACCTGTGTTTGTGTGCAAGTGCTGTCATACATTCAACAAATCCCCCCCCTGGGGATCAATAAAGTATTTCTGATTGTGATTCTGAATTGTTAAGAAAAGTCCTGGAAAATGTTTTGTAATAAAGAGAGGGGACCCTGACTGTCTGGGAGAGGGCTTTACTGTTGGCTACAATAACTGTGCTGATGGTTGTTGTGTGTCTGTTGTCACAGGAACCCCTGCCACCATGAGCCAGGTTGCTAAAGATGTGTGTACTTTCTTGAGGTGGGCTGCCGAGCCAGAGCACGACCAACGCAAACGCATGGGCCTGAAGGTACAACGCACACACACGAGCACACAGCAGACTGCATGTCATTGGAAATGTTCCAGTACCTCCAATATTATACCTCAATTTGTGGTACAGATACCAGAACAATACTTTTTAATGTAAATGTCTGATATCTCAGAGAGATTATATGGTATGGGTCACAACCATTTGGTCCGTGCCCATAAATCCCCATTCATTTGACGTTTTCTATGTAGATGTGTGAGGACACAGGATCTGGAGCTTGTTGTGGGATTAATCTTTCTCGTTCTCTTTCCAGTTGCTGTTGGGCTCGGCCATCCTCGTCCCTCTGATGTACTACATGAAGAGACACAGGTGGTCTGTGCTGAAGAGCAGGAAGATCGCCTACAGGCCTCCCAAGTAAACAGAAACAAACTCACCCCTACCTGGGCTTAAAACCTACCGGAGAGGGCAGCGTTCAATGACCCCACGACGCTCACATCACAACAATCCTGCAGACACAGAACAACAAACACACATGCCTTTCTAAGAGGGGGTAGAGAAATATACTATGTTTATTCCTACAGAGAAATGCCTTTTTAAGTTGTTGGCGTGGTAGAACTACTCGTGTGACAGATTTTCCTGCATCTGGAGTGTGGTGCAAGTTTGTGTTAGAGAGTCGTGGCGTAATTGAACACACCCTCGACAAAGTCTATGTTTGTTTTTGTTTTCCTGCTCCGGGTCAACGCTGGTAGCAGTTCACGTCTTGACATCTCGTATCAGACACTTTGTCACAATTGACTGATAAGTTGATTGATCGTCCATCTTTGTAAGATACTCAATAACCACAGACAAACGCTGAGAAAGGGTTGCCCTGAAAGTTTGTAACATCCCGGGTGTGTGTAAATCCATCCTCCCCTGTCCTCTCCACAAAGCCACTCAGTGGAACAAATGCAGCCTCTGAACCTCTGTTTTACTGTACAAAATAAATTATCTTAAAGGAAACTTTCCTGTGTGGCAGTTTGTTTTGTTTCCAGTGGCAGTAGATGTTGCACACACACACACACACACACTCCAACCTTTCTGCCTGTGTCATTCTGATCATTTCTGTCTGACTTGTGGAGTCTTTGTCATGTAAATATTTAATAAACTGCTGAATGGACAAACTTTCTTATGAGGTTATAATTTGTTGACCTTCAGAGAGGAACGTCACTTTGCTTTAAAAAAATGTGGGAAATAAACCTGTTTCTGTCTGTATTTCATAAAACTATATGGTATAACAGTTTAGGCACAAAGAGAGGTTTTTATTGTTTTGTACAATAATGACATTTCCGTAAAGTTTGATACTTCATCCTTACTGTGTATATTAAGGTGACACATTGCAGAACCCACAGTTCTCCAGTAGCAGTAGCACTGTGGCAGTAAGATAAATAAGGTATGATATACAATGTTCTCCCCTGACAGACAGTATTTCTGGAGCCTTTGTATTATTTTTGGGTTTTTGGGGACCTGACAATCGTTTTTAGTATAATAATAATAATAATAATTCTAGAACAAGCGAGACAATAAAATACAATAGAATAAGGCTGGTTGGAGTAAAATATCCAGAAGTTGTAAGATTTATAAAATGTAAAAATACTGCACAGTAGTTGGGAACTGTTGGGTCTCTAAATAATTATATAAGGAGTACAGTCTAGACCTGTTGTATTTCAAAGGTGTCCTGAGAACTTTTGTAATGAATTGGCCCTATACAAATTGAATTGAATAGTTTATAAATTGACAGGATTATACAACTCTGCACTGGCAGTTAGCACGGTGACAGTCATTATGTCCTCTCCTGTGATGATTGCCAGTTAAACGACGCAGTAAACTTAGGCTAGGAATAGGTCATTGCACATTTGATTGGGTGTTACAGTTGGGTTTTGGGTGAGGTTGCAACATTTCAGTCAAGTTAAAAACTTTTTTGCATGGCTGTGTTTTTTTTTTTTTTTTGCTGTCCCCACAGAGAGGGTGTTATCTAAGGGTTTTTAGGTCGTGTAATATATATCTCCGCCTTATAGAAAACTTTACTGGTATTGTCTTCAGTGGGCGTATATTCACAGTATGGAAACAGCCTCTCAGTAAAAGTGTGTGTAAAGGTGTGTATGTGTGTGTTTATAAGTTAAATCATAAATAGCATAATGACAGATTTCCCTCTGTTTGCAGTCCAGATGAACTCTGATCCTCTGGAGCTTCTTCTTCACTGAAAGGACTGTGGAGGGATCTGATAAGGAGCGTGCGCTGTATTTCCCATCAAAGTACCCTATTCTCCATAAACGAGACGGATGCTTCCCCTTCCTCTGGACCGACTCCGCTGTCACACCCACAAACCAGTCTGTATTGTCCCCAACTTCAACATCCCAGCTGTGA